GAACCTGAGCATAGGGGCAGTCAATGACTTGTCACAGAGGCCAGATTGAGGTGTGGGGCGGCCTGGGTCCCCGAGCCAGGCCAGCTAAATCCCACGATTCCAGGCAAGCGAGCGTGCTCTCTCGTACCTTCATTGGCTGTTCTCGTGGGTGATCAGATAGATTATGGGTCAGGCCAGGTGTTTTGAGAGTGAAAGGGGGTACTATTAATAATCCCACTTGGGTGATTAATCTTTTGGGCTTCTTCCTGTTTTAAAATTCTATTACAGATGAGAAAATAGGGTTCAGGCTGCTCCTGAGCACCAGGCCAGTGCTTTGCTCCCTGAGCTGGACTATCTTCCGCCAGGACTAGCTAATGCTGCAGTTATGTGGAGGATCGGGACTGAAAGATTGATATAGGCATTTCCCAGCAACTGGAAGGCACAGCCTATCCCGCTCCTGCTTGGTTGCACACTCACACACCTCAAATCCCACATGTGTTCAGCATCTACACCACTGGAATGCCAAATCCACACCAGGGCCACTGAAAGCCAGGGCAGCCTGGTGATCAGGGCCAGGGGGCAGCAGATGCACCCCCTTCCGTAGGACACAGCCTCCTGCCACCTGCAGTGTGGGACTCACCCGCATCCCCACCAGCATGCTTCAGGTAATCAGGAGGGATGAATGGAACCCAGGAGGACAGGCATTGCCCTCAGGGCCCTCAGGGGTCAGGTTTTAACTGGCAGGTTGGTGCTTTATCCATCCCTCCAGGCCACAGGTCACCTTTCTGCTGTCCACCACCCCCATTTACTTGATATTTTAGATGCCTGAGGAAACCATCAACAACATTCAACACTTAATTCAGGTTAGATCATAGCACAGCCTGTTAAAAAAATGTTCAAGTGACCCTTTGAACTAAGCCATTCCACACTGAAAGAATCTAAAAATAAAGGAGAAGGGGAAATGTTCAAAGAAAAGTTATCCAAGGAGGACATTCTCCTTGGATACGAACCTATTTTTTCAGCAGTATAAACCTATCACTTGTTTAAAAATTATTATTTTTTTTATTTTTGGTGAAACTCTGAACGACAGGAAGTAGTATTTGACTTTCCAACAGTAGCATTAAACCAGGGTTGGCTATCACCCCAAAGCCAATGGAAATTAGTCCTCTTTTACCAGAGCACAGTATCCAGTCCCCAGGGCTGAGGATGGCGCTCACCTCCGCCCTCTCTTCCCCAGGACAGCTCTTACTGCTGATCCTCTGGTTCCACCACACTCCTCTTCCAGGGCAGAGCACGTCAAATGCAGCTGCCACTTGCTGTCCCAAGCTGAAGTAATCTGGGACAAAAGGGCTGACATGGGCAGAGAGCCACAGGGACTGGGGTGGGTGGGATGCACAGGTTGACTGGCCTACAAAAATGGGTCCTCAAGGAAGAAGGCTCCTGGTCACTAAAGTTGGCCAAGCTCCTCTGCTGGTGCTTACCTTCTGCTCCAGAGAGGAAATAGCTCATGTTTTTAAAACTCTATGAGCATGCTGGGTCTGGTCACATGCCTGTAATCCCAGTGGCTTGGGAGGCAGAAATGGGAGAATTGCAAGTTCAAAGCCAGCCTCAGCAACTTTGCAAGGCCCTAAGCAATTTAGCAAGACCCTGTCTCAAAATAAAAAGGGCTGGGGATGTGGCTCAGTGATTAAGCACCCCTGGGTTTAATTCTCAGTATATATAAAAAGAGAGAGTGCAGAATTTCTTGACATTTTGTCTCTAGAGATCTTAGGAGGGCTCTTCATTTTTTTCAGAAACACAAGTGAAATGTAGCTTCCTCCAACGAGTATAAATACATTTAACAAAGAGTGGTCTAATTCAGAAAAAGAAATCTATCCAACCAAGTCCACGGTCTGGAGATGGTTGCATACAAGATTCTACTGAAAACCCACAATCTGGGTATATTGTCTACCAACAAGTTGTTTGAAAATTCTGACCAGTAGGGTTTATATATTTTACCTAAAACTGATTCTCCCGATTGCCCCATTTTAGAATTCAGATGGCAATTATGTTTACATAACAGTCCAAAGAACTCCCAGATATGTTATTTGGGTGGAACTTACTTAATATCCCAGGGAGGGATATCACTCGTTAAGCAATTATTGTCCATTAACAGTATGACTTTAATTAGTTTCCCAACGATGGGTAGGCAAAGCCCTGGGAGAATGAGACCCCAGAAATGGCACACTGTGGTGAAAGGAGAGATGGGAACCCACCAGAACATGGCAGCTGGCCAGGGCAGTGCGGTGAGGTACTGTGGTCCCATGCCCCAGTACCCACACAGGTGGTGAGGGATAGGCAGGAAGGGTATAAGTCACAAAGACAGAGGTCACTCACTCAGGCTTTTGCCCAGGGCTGCTCTGGATATCCTAATGAAAGACCCTGGGCTAGACAGACTCACCCCAATGCTGAGAACTCATGACATTTCCTGAACCAGCAAAGGAACGTGGCTGGGCACCAGAGCAGAGCGCCCTGTGCTTCCGCAGAGATATCTTTCAATAAGTATTATCCTCTTGCTTAGACCAGATATTATGTAGGGAACAAAAGGAGGCTATAGTTTTGAAACATCCCTTCTTACCCTCCTTTTTGACTCATAGCACAATCCTTAAATAATGCACCTCTGAGGCTCAGAGTAATTCCTGCCGCTTGCTGCCTGGAGCACTTCTGGGTTCCAGGAATTCTCTTGGAAGGTGTTGGATACCCTAGCCAGAGCTGGAAGTGTGACTTTGAGGACCCAGAGCAGCCTCTTCCTTATCCTGTAAGCTCCCATTACTGTGCTCCCCAGGCTTCCCAGCCTCTCTTACCCTGGGACACACTGGTCATAGGGCTGGGGGACCATCCCCACCCCTTGTCTGGGCCTTACTATCCTCTCAAAATACAATAAAAGAGCTGGTGACATGGCTGAGTGGTAAAGGGCTTGCCTAGCATGTGTGATGCCCTGGTTTCCGTCCCTGGTACTGCAAACAAAAACCAAGAAAATAACCAAGGTCAGAGTGGCCCACCAAAGAGCTGCTGATTTAATTGCACTGGGGTGGGGCTGAGTCCTGATGTTTTTAAAAAGATTCTCCAGGTCCAATAACCTTTGAGTTAGATGATCTCTACAGACCTTTCTAGTCCTAAAAGGTCTATATCCTGACTCTCTCATTCCTCCACTTTATGTCTTTAGTTTCTCCAAAACTACTCAGTTTATTTTCATGTTAAATTGGCTGATTTAATTGTAAAAAAGAACTATATTGTACAGTACTGCCACAGTATTGTTGAGCTGTAATTGACATCTAATAATGTACGTGTTCATAGTATACAAAGTGATAAGTTTTCACAATAAGAAATGGTCACTGTAGTCACAATGGCAAACATATCTGTCAGCCCCCAAATTTCCTGTGCCTTTGGCAATCCCTGATCTGTCTTCCTCTACTACAGATGAGTTTGTGTCTTCTACAAATTGAATCATAAGTAAATACTGTTGCTTCTTATTATTACATCCTTGGACTTTACATTTCAAGACCAGGGTCTTTTTTATTTCTTTTTTCCTCCTCCCAGCCCCCAGTTGATCTTTGCTCAGAGAAACCGCTTAATCATTATTTGTTGGATTGAAAAAAAGGCCTTTGTAAAATTATAATAGCTTCAGTTTGGTGATCAAGAAGTGCCCATCGAGTTAAGGTTTTAACTTTCCACTTCTTCCCAGTTAAAAAAATAAAGCATGATTTAAAACCAAGGTATCTTAATTTAGGGTCTGTGGACTTCCAGGGGTCTAGACAGTGAGCTTCTAGATATGTGTTGAGGACAGGGGAAGCGGCTGGGGGCTGAATACCTGGGAAAGATCCTTGGCTTCTGCCAGTCTCTTAATCCCTAGATTCTAGACCCAAATGGCTGAGCTATGGAATGAATGCCACACTGTCTTCCTTTAATATCCTACATGCATTTTATAAATATGATGTCTAGTTATAAATCCTCTGTAATCTACTCCCTCCTTCTCTCCCTCCCTGCCTCCCTGGTACCTGTATTTTGTTCTCTGCCCGGCCCTGGTTGGTAATGCTTCACATGGTTAACCTCAGGGTGTGATAAACACTCCAGGCGCTGTCTACTGCCTGGGAACGTTTGGCATTCTTCTCTTCCACATCTTCTCATCTAAGCTGTGTGGCATGAGTCCTTTTATTCAAGGGCTCTTCCTCCAGCTTAATACCAGAGTTAAAAAATCACAAACCTCCATTTCCTGAAAATTCCAGAGTTTAGGATTTCTATTAATCTTTTTTTTTAAAGAGAGAGAGAGAGAGAGAGAGAGAGAGAGAGAGAATTTTTTTTAATATTTATTTTTTAGTTTTCGGCGGACACAACATCTTTGTTTGTATGTGGTGCTGAGGATGGAACCCTGGCCACACACATGCCAGGCGAGCGCGCTACCGCTTGAGCCACATCCCCAGCCCTCTATTAATCTTAAACAAGATCAATACTTTCACTGTTATTTATAAGCGTAATGAGAACAAAAAATATACTAAGTAACACTGCAAATTCATCATTAAGCCATCTCTACTCAATCCAGAGATGCCCCCTCTTATACATCCCACATACAAAAAAAATTTTTAAACTGATCTTAGAAAAGGCTGAAATATACAGTAGCAATTATCAGCTTCTAAATAACAAAACTACGCATCTGGCAGTTACACAAATGCAGGTTTCAAAGTGTCTTAATAGGGAGAGAGCAAAAAGAAAATACCTCACCTGCTGGCCAAAAGACCAACAGGACTCCCCCCCTTGCTTCATCCAAAGTCAGCTCAACCCCATGTTTGTTGGCAGGGGGTCTGGTGTTTTACTTCCAGCAGCATTCTCTGGCTCCCTGCTGGGGGTAGGCATTACATGTTTATTCTCCCTTTCACGTCCACCCTTTTCCAACAGAAAAGCTATCATGGTAACTATAGCATTTTGGTCTAGTTTCTATGCAAGTTCATTCTCTGCATTAAAGGCAGAGAATGAAAGTTACTTACGTGCAAGTGGCCAAGGGGAGCCCTGGATTTGGAAGCTGCGTTTGCTGATGCCTGCCTGCTTAAATAGCTTGGCTGGCTGACGCAAGCTGCTGATAGCACTTTTGTTTACGCCCCGTGAATGCACGCTCAAGCAAGGACCTGAAAAACCTGCAGCGTGGGCAGGAGGGAAACAGTCTGCCCGGGGAGGGTACGTCTCTCCTGGTTATTCAGGTTTGATACCCAGACGGTGACTTCTGAGAGTCCCGTGGAACTCTCCCCTCCTCCCATCCTCCTCATCCCTGTCCTCTTACTTATCCAAATAAGACTCTTCAAGATTGGATGGAAGATGCGGCTGCAGGAAGAAGGGGAAGCGAAATAGGACCCTGGACCCTTTCCCTCAACTTCCCTATTTGGAATGTGCTTCCTGTTAGATGTCACTTCATTTCAAAGCTTAGGACTGATGTGGCTCTGCAGGCGGGATGCCCAGCTCAGTGCCTGGACAATTGCCCAATTAATGAAAAGCGGTTTTCCCTCTGGACACCGCATATACAAATAAAGGAACAATTAAAGGAGAGGGCAGCCAGTATGAAACAACTTTAGGTCCCCTTCAAACCCTGTTTTCACCCACTCCCGGTCCGCATCTATGCTGTCCTCCTCCTTTCCCCTGCCCTTCCTTTGCTAATGAAATTCCTAAGAGTTGAAAGATTCTCCACGGGATTGCCAATCAAAAGGCAGTGTGTGAGCAAGGCTATGGGAAGATGCACACCAAAGGTGAACGAATGAGCTCAGGGTCTCCTGTGACTATCCCTGGAACTGTTTCTAAAAATGAGGGTGTGTGGGGGTGTGAGGACCCAGCTGGTCGATGTTTATCTTTTCTTTTAGCTAGATACAGCAGTTAACAGTCAATTGCAGCACACTGAACACATGAAGTGGGCATGATATGGAGAAGAGGAGGGAAAGGGGCAGGCTTTGGTGAGATCATTTGTGGGGGTATCTGTGTGTATTTGCTGATATGAAGCACAAACCCTTAAATGGCAACCCTTATGTACCCCCCACTTGATTCTCTTGGGAAAGTAGCCGTATTATGAAAGAAGAGCAGCAATCATTCAGAATATTTCTTTCCCTCTTGCAAAAGAGGGTAGGTTATGGTTATAATATGTGTATGGAGAAAAGCACCCTACCTGGTCACCAGGAGATTCTTTGGTTCTCCCTGTTAGTTGTGTAACTGCCAACTGTTCTATGGACAGATCTGGATTCTTGCCCCCAGATTTCTTGAGAGCAGGGTATATGTATTTTCATCTCTTGACACCCACAATGCCTTGCATTAGTTATTATGATGATGATGATGACACTCTAAAATCTAGAAGGACAATTGTGACAGGTTCTTTGTGGAACACTTCACAGAGAGTCTTTGCTCGCTGATTCCCTACAAGTCTGTGAATTAGTGTCTTGGTGATCAACATCTTGCCCATAAGAAACTGTTACCCAGAAAGATTAAATAACTTTCCCAAGGTCAGAGTAAATGGTGAAGGTGGGATTTGAATGCAGATCTCTCTGATTTCAGAGTCTGGGTTTATATTGAGAACTATTTTAAGCCAATATTTAGAAAGTTGGCTATGAATGTTTCCTCTTATCCTTAATTTTCTGCTTGTTTATCACCCGTCTTCCAGAACATGATTTCCAGGATCACAATGACTCTGTCTGCTCTGTCCACTCTTGTAACCCAGCATCCAGCACAGTGCTTGGCATATAGAAGATGCTCAATAAATATGTGCTATTTGCTCAGCTTCTAAATTCCTTTGGAATTTGGCAACAATAGAGTCTCATCTTGGTTCAGTCAGATACATTTCTTTTGCTCCTACATGATGTGTTGGCTTCAAGCTATTTTCCTTTTCCAGCATATCACTGAGATGAAACCAAAAAGCAGTTTGTATGTCACCAAGATTGTTCTCTTTTATATTGTGGACCTCAATGAAGCAGCATTGTCTCCCCTCATGGTGACATGTGATGCAGTAGATACGTGCATCACATCCTTAAGCAAAAACATCCAAAGACAAGTAGGAAAGTGCCTGGGATTTCTCCTAAGTATCTTTTTTTTTTTACTTGTTAAGAGTAGAAAATCTTTTCAGAAGCCATGTGCAGACTTCCACTTACATGTCCTTGCTGAGAACAGGGTAAATGGCCACTACATTGACTAAGTCCATCATTTGCAAAAAGGAAATGAATCAGGCTGATGATATAGTTTCTTCACTGGGCACAAGGGAAGGATTTACCTTCCTTAGACAAATAGCTTAGGATGCAGTTAATAGGGGAGATGTAGAAAAGTGCTACCAACAGTTCTGCCAATCCAGGAAGTCATTTAAATGATAACCAAAACTGCTTTAGTTTAGTTCGGAGCATGGTAATTTGGTTTCACCATATCAGCTTGATTTTTATTTGTTTGTTTTTAACAAGGAAAGCTTGCCCTGCCTTTCAGCAAAATTAAAAGTATTTGAATGACTCACAAACAAGGGAAGTAACTGGCTTCAGTGACATTTTTGTTGTTGTTTTGGGTTTTCCTTATAGGTTTGGAACATTATGTCACTACTGATTTCTAGAGACCAGCACACAGTCCGTCAGCCTCTTGTTTTGGTACCACGAGGGATCGGTGATGTTGTTGGTTTCTTAGAAACGTTGGTTCCAATACTGCAAATACTTATAAAAAGATAGCAACACAGTCTTTAATGCTTTAACACTCATTTGCCCTACTCCTCCTCTTGCCTATTATACTTCAGTGGGATTTCCTAATCCACGTTTGCATCTATCTCAGCCACTGCCTGGAATATGCCAACTAGAAACACCTTTCTCACAGTTCCTCTCTCTGCCGTCAACAAACTTCAAATGAACACAGGCAAATAGTTCGTTCTTACCCTTCTATTTGCTGTTCTAGACTTTTCCTTGGGAATTCTAGAACAGACCTTGGGCATTCTTTTCTACATGGTCAAAGATCAAAAGAAATGGGAGAAAAGATAAGCTAGTTGTTCAGCTGCACAGGGGAGGAGCCTGTCTGGGAAATGGCAGATGCTCAACATATGTCTGGTGAGTGAGTGGGAGAATGGTGGACAGGAAAGAGTGAAGGCTTTTGAATCATGCGGATTCACTTGTGTTCACCACCTATGTGATCCAGGGCAACTTCTCTCAGCCTCAGTTTCCTTATGTGTAAAATGAGAGTAGTGATATTTTTTCAGAGATGTGTTGTAAACATTAATGATAATATATGCAAAGCACTTAGCATTAATGCCTCAAACATAATATATGCCCAATAAAATGGTAGCTACTGCTAATGATTACAACCAAGCCCATCCCTAGTCATCTTTGTGAAATCCACAAAAAATTGGTAAAATTTAGCCGGGGCAGGCCTGTAATCCCAATGGCTTGGGAGGCTGAGTCAGGAAGATCACGAGTTCAAAGCCAGCCTCAGCAATGGCGAGGCCCTAAGCATTCAGTGAGACCCTGTCTCTAAATAAAATACAAAATAGGGCTGGGGATGTGGCTCAGTGGTTGAGTGCCCCTGGGTTTAATCCCCAGTACCAAAATAAATAAATAAATAAAAATTAGTGAAATCTAAAACTCCTCATTGCTATAGCGAACCAGGGCATTGGTAGAGCCACATAGAAGGGAGTGATAGCTGGTTAGTAGGAGCAGCTAATCTTTTCCTACCCAAAATAGAGATTATGGTGCAGGAAGCTAATTTATAATAGGGGGAATGTGGAACTAACAATGGTGGAAAGAGACAGAAGCCATTCCTCAAGAGACAGAAAATTACTGACATTTCAGCAAGTTCACAATGTACAAATCTCCCAAGGACCAAAATCTGAGCTGTAGGAAAGCAAATGAGGAAGAGGTGCGGTCAGAAGATAGGAGCATCCCTGCCCCAAATTCTGCCCCTAGAATATGAACTTGCAGACCCAGAGACTGAATCTGCAGACCTCTGGAAGTTCTAACTGACTTAGGGCCCTTCTTGGCCTAACCTGGCTGGGACCAATGAAGTGGAAGAAGCAGAGGGGGGAGTGGCAGATGACAGAGAAGCTGCACAAAGAAAAATTTGAATGCCAACCCACTGATAGAGACAGTTCCCCTGGCTTCTCCTGGTAGAGGAGTTCTCATGATCCCTGGTGAGCGGGGAGTGAAAGTCAAGACGTAATTACACTAGGTATTCTTGGTAGTTGGTTGTTGACATGGTAATGATGCCGTCATCCTTTCAATGAACTGTATAGGCTTTATTCAAGGTGTGGATTCCATCATTTCATCTGACCCACTGTGTCCTCATGGAGCCCTAGTCAGTCGATGCCTGGTGGATAGATGGGGTGGCCCATGAGCAGTGCCTGTTACAGAGGGGTGCCTGGACAGAGCTGTTCAATTTGGGGTGACCCTAATTGTGTTCACCTTTCTGCTTAAGAACCAAAGTTTCTTCAGCTTCCTCATCCAGGGTCTAATGCATGAGCAGGTTCCAGGCTCATAATGAATGAGCTCATTTCCTTGTCATCTCATTCAGATGATTGGCTGGAGGAGGGCAGCCTTGGATAACGGGGGAACGGACATCACCCCCATCCATGGATTGAGGGAGGGAGGAGGTCTCTTTCTTCACCTACGAATCCTGGCTCCTTTCCTGAACACCAGGGCTTCGCTGCTGCTGGCAGAAGCTGCCAAGAAGCACAGGGCATCATTCTCGAGGGGGCGGGGGCGGTGCCTCACCTAAGAGGCGGTCCCCTGGGTGAAGGACGGGAAGACGCTGTGGGTTGAGGCCACCCACCCAACGGCAATCCCCTGTGCGGAGGAGGAGAGTCCCCACACCCCTCCTGAAATTCCAGGGATGGTCTCTGTGCTTTGAGAAAGCAGCCAGCCAGGAGCTGGGGCGGAGAACAACAGAATCCTATGGAAAAAGGCTCCTTGGCCGGGCAGCAGACCTGGCCCCTCTGCCCGCTGGTCCCTTGGGCTCCTGGTCTGCACTCCTAACCTCTGTGCAGCACAGCCTTTGCAGCCACTTCCAACGCGTCTCACCGGAGCCCCAGGTGGCAGATGAAGAGCAGGCGTCGCCTCAGCCACACTGGGTGCTCCTGACCCCAAGTTCCACCAAAGTCGCTTGAATTCTACTCATGGTTTTACTTGGCCACAGAGAGGACAGGGAAAGGAAGACTGAGCGGACAAAAAAATGAAGTTGAGAGACAAAGACAAGGCAAAATCTAAGTACATGTTTGACACAGTAGAGAAA